TTTGGCTTTACTTGCTGCTGGGGAGCCCGGTGCAGTACTTGAAGCTGTGGAACGTTCCTCGGATGTCTCCCCTCCCTTGGTTCACTTCCCTGTGGCTGTCAGCTGGGATGGCGGGGCCGGTCAGGCCTGGCGCTCTCCTCCCCCTGCAGGCCAGCCTTGGTTCTGCAGGGTTCCAGAGTCGCTAAGACCAGAAACGGCAAGTCTTCTTGAGCCCTCTGCCCAGGACTGGCCCAAGGTCGGTCCTGCCAAAACCTCTTGGTTGACACAGGTCACCAGGCCAGCCCAGACGGTCAGATGTTGGGGAGACAGGCTCCCCCCTCTGGATGGTGGAACTGAACAGTCACATTGCAAAAAGAGTTTGCATGCAGGAATGGGAACGTTTTCGGGCGCTTTCTGCATCTTCCATAGCAGCCAACAGTAATTCCTCTGAAAACGGTCCTATGAGGCAGGGAGCCTCTGTGGCTCAGTCGGTTAAGTGTCCGACTTCAGCTCTGGTCATGATCTTGTGGTTCATGGGTTTGAGCCCTGCGTAGGGCTCTGTGCTGCTCTGTGCTGACAGCTCAGAGCCCGGAGCCTGCTTCAGATTCTGTCTCTCTCTCTCTCTGTCCCTCCCCTGCTTCACTTCTGTTCTCTGTCTCAAAAATAAATAAACATTAAAAATTTAAATTAAATAAATAAAAAGATCCTAGGAGAGAAGGCCACATGGTATGGCATGGAGTATATTAGGTCCCCTTAGGTCCCCTGGCCATGTGGTTCAGAGGAGTGGTGGCCAGAGTCACTTTGTAGGCATGTGACCTGTGCAGCCACATGGGTCCCCACACTCAGAAGGGCCCTATGCTTGTTTGATGCCCTGTCGTCACCATCTTGAAATTCTTTAAAAAAATTTTTTTTAATGTTTATTTTTGAGACAGAGAGAGACAGCGCATGAGCAGGGGAGGAGCCGAGAGAAAGGGAGACACAGAATCTGAAGCAGGCTCCAGGCTCTGAGCTGTCAGCACAGAGCCCAACGCGGGGCTCAAACCCACAGACCATGAGATTATGACCTGAGCTGAAGTCAGACACTCAGCCAGCTGAGCCACCCAGGCGCTCCGCCATCTTGAAATTCTTAATAACATGGAACACGAGCTGCACATTTTCACTTTACACTGGGTCCCATGGACTGGGTCACTGGACCTGAGAGTGCCCCAGGGAACCCCAAAGGTCCAGGGTCTGGCTGCCTGCAGAGGGACCAGAAGAGCTGCACCCGGTACAAGGTTATCATTATGGGCAGCGGGGTGAGGTCTGCAGCCCAAGATTTCTCGGCCATAAAACTTTTGTCCCTTGACCTGTGGATCTTCTGACTGGCTTGCCCCCACCTGTGCCTGCCCCCCACTTTTAGGATGAGCAGATTTTAAGTTGGGATCTCAGGCTTTGGGTCCCAGCTCCCATTGGCTGTCAGCCATTGCCTAAGCCACGGAACCAATCAGTCCCTTGCACTGTTCCTGCCTCAGAGGGGTCCTGGCCGCCATGGTGGACCTCCTTCGGGGCCATATTCGGGTCCTTCAGAAGGGACCCTGGTGCAGAGCCCAACACTTGCTCTGTGTCGGCACGTAACACCTGACGGTGACATTACTTGTACTTCTCTCTCCCTCAAACCTATTCCAGGGCAGAGGCCGCTCATTTGGCCCAGCACCCCTGCTCTTTGCACACGGCCTCCAACACAGCTGGTTCTCAACAGACACCTAGGGGGCGTTTACAGCCATTAGAATATGGTCTCTGAACCCACCCGGATTCCAGTCCTCCTCCGGCCCCTCACCAGCTACATGGCCTTGGGACTCAGTTTCCTCATCTGTAAAAACATAAACAGCATAACAATAGTACCTACGATGTATAGTTGTTGTGGAGATGAAGCGAGTTGATATGTATGTAGCGAGCTCAGAACACCCAGTAGGTGCCCTGTGTTTGCTGTTCTCAGTGAATGAATGAAACTACTAAGTGCATACCCACTGTCCCGTGTTGTGTTGAAATTTATTTGGGCTGGTCTTTCAGATATTGTTCATTCATTCCCTGAAAAGTCAGCGGGGTGTGCACCGTGCATAAGCCAGGCACCGTGCAGGGCGCAGGGGATTCAAAAGTTGAGTAAGATCCACTTTGCTCTCGGAGGACTCATAGCCAATGGGTAAGCGGATATGGCTTCTGGGATCGCTACAGGTGTGAGGCTGGGGAGCCTGGGAAAGGGTGCAGGGGGGAGGGTGGGGCAGGAGGAGCATCAGGTGACCTGGAGCTGAGCCTTGCAGCCATAAATAGACAGTGTCCTTTAGCTTAAAGCCTAGATTGGAGTCAGACACATAAAAGTTAAAGCTTTTTCTTTTCTTTTCTTTTAATGATCATAATAGAAAACAACAAGAGGAACAGTGCTAACAGTCAAAAGGTCACGATTCCACAGCCACATTTTTACATCCATCAAGGTTAGATATTTTTAATCCAAAGAGCACACTGAAGCCCTACATTAAGAAATCGCCTATTCATTGTAGTAAAAGTTAGTGATCTCGTCGCGAAACCGGGTGGTGGGGGCAGGGGGGGTGAGTAGCAAAGGATTACAAGAATAGTTAAAATACCTTTTATTAAGTAAACTACTTACAAGTTGATTATGAAAACATTAGTAGGACGCACAAACGTTTCTGATTCTCTCTACGTGGAGAATTGGTATCCAGAGAGTGGTTAGTTACAAGAATAAGGTTTTTGTAAAACTTTAAATAGTAGAAAGTGTTAATATGTCTTCAACTGGGGGGAAACGGGGCAGGGCCCGTGGAACAAGGGTCAAAAGCAAGGGAAGATGTAGGTTTGCCCAAAGGGTGTTAGCTTCCCCCCCTCCCTCTCCCCTCTCCAGCAATGCTTCTCAGACGCATTGGCGAGAGGTCAGCTCCCTCAAGGTCCTGGCGTCCAAAGTTACTGGGACAAGTTCGGCCCGACCCTACTATCCACCTTGTAAGGGTTCTTCTATTCAAGCTGAGTCTCCCTGTGAAAACCCCAAGACGGTGGGAATGGAGCGTCCATGGATCCCCAGAGGAATTGCTTGACCGTGGATCACTGCCCTTGGCTGGGACTGTCTGAACTTGGGGCAGCCGCCATGATAGTGCTGTTGCTCAGAAGGGCTCTGATTTACTCCATGACTCACAGATGGGGAAAAGTGGGGCTTTGGAAGAGACGCAGAGTTTTGGAGTCCGAGACAGTATTGCCCAGTGCCGCGTTTCCCCACCTCAGCACTGCTGGTATTTTGGGGTCAGATGATTGATTCTTTGTTACTGGGGGGTGGGGTGGGGGTTTCAGCAGCAGCACTGGCTTCTGTCCACTAGATGCCAGTGGAACACCACCCCTCACCACGTTGTGAAAAACCAAAATTGTCTCCCGACACTGCCAAAGGTCCCCGGAAGGACACAATTTTCTGAGGTTGAGAACCACTGGCCAAATGGTTCAGCAGCTTTGCTATATAGATGCGCTGGGCTCAAGACCCCCCTCTCCTGCCGACCAGCCTGACCCGGCAAACTCTCCCAAACTTCTCTGACACTCGGTGTCCTCAAGTGTAAAAAGTCTGGAACTTCCTTCCTGCCAGTTTACAAAGCAGTGGTCAGAACCATCTGGATCGTTTGAACTGGACGCGGGGTGATTCTCCCGTTCCTTAAGACATGGGTGGGACACACACTGGGGTTGCCGGTGGCTGCTGAGCCACACAGAGGGGGCTCGGTGAGGAGTGAGGGCTCTGGATTTCCCTAACGGCCACGACACACAAGTTCCCTGCAAGTACACCCTGTCGGGATTTATTCCGACCCCCCAGAAGGGGTCCTTCTGGGACGACAGGGAGTTGGCCTGCAAAAGGACCCAGAGGCAGGGGATGAACTAAGCAGGTGAATGGACTGTTCTGGGCAGGTGCGCGTCCACCCCTCGGCCTGAAGATGGGTGCAAGGTATGTCCCAGGCACCGTGCAGCCCATCCAACCTCTCTAAAGCCTTTCTCTGCTTTTATTGCCCATCTTGACAGAACACTGATGCCTTTCGCAGCGATTCAGAACAAACATCACAGACTTACATTCCAAAATTTACGCGGCCAATTTTATATACCTTCGACCATCCCGTCACGCTCCCGACAGCTGCCTTTTCTCACGCTGGGGCAATCGCTCCTCTCTCCGGTCACTGTGGTTTGCACTAGATTGTCCCCTGTCCCATCCTCACCCGCCAAAAAGTGGAAAGAAAATGCTCAAGGTCTAATAATCTCAGAAGTGACGTTCTGGGAACAACCGGCCACTATTTCATCCCGACGACCTGAATTTCTCGGAGAGGCTCCTTTTTCTGATCAGAGATTATGAACTTTGTCCCTCTGGGCTCTCAAGCACTCAGCTCAGCTGGCCCGTACCTGTCACTGGATGATTGAGGCCAGCGGCTGGCGGGGGCAGGCCGGCACAGAGCATTCAGGCTCTGACTACTGCTCCCTTTGGCCCCCTGAGCATGAAGAGCCTAAGTAACGTCCTTTTGAGATTCAGGCCTCCATTAAGAGCAACCTCAGGCTACATGTAGCCCCTCTTCCAGAAAAAGCCTCAGATTGTTCAAGGCTAAAGCCACCCTCGGACCGCTCTCAGGTCAGCTAAACATTTCTGTGGTCTGAGTCAAGGCTGGGAACTGCAGACAAATTAACCAATTACTCACCACTTGCCTAAACCCTACGTACGCCCTTTGAGCTCACCTCATAATTAGTCATTTTCAAAAGATACTCAAAGGTCATGACTGGGTCCCGGCCAAAAGTAACGGACACCTCACAGATACTGAATAGTCAAAACTATTACCTTGGATGCTGTACAATTGTAATTGGAGCTTATGTAATGATGTCATACGTACAACGTGTGCACTGTAACACCCCCGTCCCTTACCCCATAAAAACCCTGCTCACTATTGTTCGGGGCTTCACCTTGCTGCCACTACACTGGTAGGCGGGTGAGCCCCTGCTCGAGCTTGTAATAAAGACTCTTTTGTACTTGCATCGGTGTCGGCTCCTTGGTGGTCTCTGGGGACTCGCGAATCAGGCACAACAAGCACAGCTCCTTGGCCGACCCGTCGTCACAGTGGCCCGGCCCACCTAGGACTTGCTCTGGGGATGGTCAAAGGCATGCAAGGGATGGTGTGCAGGCCAGGTAACAGGTGGCAGAGAGCATGATGCCTGCCCCGGGGCTGGAGCTCACATCCAGCGCCACCCTTGCACTCCCTGGTAAATGCAGTGGGAGATGTGCCTTGAACCAGGAAGCCGGAGACTTGCCGGGTCTCCAGTCAGTATCTGGCCCCAGCTGCCCTCCCAAGTATTAGATTCTGATTGGAGGCTCTCTAACGCCTCTTTACCACTGTGAGACTCTGAGACTGATAAACACGTGCGCACCGCTCTGCCCCTTTCCAGCACCTACACCTGGGACCCCAACAGCCCCGGCCTCAGAGCCCCCCGCCCTGGGGTGGTCCCTTCCAGGGGGCTCCCCTTAGAGTGCATGCACGCAGGAAGACACAGGGTTACTACCTAGCCTGGCGGGCCAACAGAGTTGGATCTGAATCACAGCTCTCTAGAGCTCTCTCTGAGGCACATTAGCCTGGCCTCAGTTTTCTCAACAGAAGAATGGGACAATGACTGATGTGTGCTTCTCTGCACCTCACTTCTGCCCCCTGAGGGGTGATTCGAGAAGTGAATGGGATGCAAACAGAGCACAGCACAGGGAACAGGGGCACAAGAAATGACAACAGTAAGGATGATAATTATTAGTAACATCACTAATACTGATGAAAGAAGGTCATGCTCACGAGGAAGGAGAATGACATCTGTGTGGATTGGGTAGCAGCGCAGACGAAGGTGGAGTCTTTCCAGTCCTCAGGGAGGGATTCCCACATATGCTAGTGGTCTGGCCGCATCCAAGCTTTCCATTGGGAACAGGCTGGAAAACGGCTTGTTGAGTCTCCAACCAAGTGGTACTGGCCGGCCCCCCTAACCCTCTCCCTTGGATCCCAGGAAACCCCTCAAAGGAGATAGATAGAATGGTCTCTTTCTGGGGGGATAAGGGAGGTCAGGGGAGTCTTACTTTCCTCTTAACCTTGATCCCACAGGGACAGGAGGGACAGCAGAGCGATCATCTTACCCAGGCCCACACAGGAGGTGAGATCCCCTCGAGATGCACCTGCCCGAAGTGTCTTTTGGCTTCTCCTCCAAGCTCCCGTGACAGTGGCTCAGCCCCTCCGAAACCAGGTGTTGCTCTGGGCAGTGAAGTGTCGCACATGCCAACAGACACAGGTGTGGGACACCGTTGGCTTGCAGAGGGGACATGGGGAGACATGTGGCGGGCCAAGCATGAAGAACATTCTGGCAAATGCAGGACCTCTTCCCTGAAGAACAAGAGGCAAGCCCCTTCTTCCTCAGCGCTGGCTCATCGAGTCAAGGTGGGCTCTGGGGCCAAGCTCACCCAGGAGAAACCAGAACGGGAGCTCCAGGCTGGGCCCCGCGAGAGCGGCCTCTGTCCCTCCTGCTCAGGACAGCCCTGGGGCTGGAGAGAACTCCCGAGGCTGGGCTGGGATGTCCCAGACCATCCCACCTCTCCTCGGCGATTCCGGCAGCCTGCGCCTCACTCCTTGGCTGGGCCCCTTTGTTGGACTCCAGGTATTGGCCAGGGTCCTTTTGTGTGGTCCCAAGAAAGTTGCTCTCTAGAAATTTCTGTGGCTTCATAAAAAAGCTTGTGCTCAACTTTAAAGAGGGGAGCAGGCAACCACCATCCCCGAAGCCTGGACAGAGAGGGCAGTGGGCAGGTGACGGGCGTGCCCCATTCTGAGGACAGTCAGACTCCTACCTGTGGAAGAAGCCAGAGCCGGCCCAAGCCACACCATGACGTGGGACCTTGGGAACAGCCCCTGCAGGCCCAGAGCCTGGTTTAAACGTGCCTGGAGGTGTCAGGCAGCCACTGAAGGCAGCGTGGTATGGCAGGAAGAGACTGGCTTTAGAGCCCGATGGTCCAGACTCAAACCCCAACTTGGCACCTTCATGCTGTGTGGCCTGGGGCAAACTCTGAGCTCCTCGTCTGGTATCTCTGCATCGGAGCACTGATGCCGGAAGGTAACTGTACAGATTAAAGACGTGCATGTGAGTCTAGCACGGTGCCCGGACAATGCCCCTTGCCCACTACCTCACATCGAAGACGGAACCTAGCTAAGTAAAGCATGCGGGACAGGACAGCTCACTCTCTGGCTGGAAATCTGTCCTTTACCCTTCGCTGGACATTCACATGCGCATCTGTCCTCATCGTTATTTAAGTGGCGGTGGGAAAAACAAAAAACCACAGAGAAAAACACCATAGGAGACTTCACAGAATGCAAAGTTTGGACAAGATGGTCCCTCAGTCTCCCGGCCTCGGGTCTATGGCCCTGTAGCTGAATAGAGAGAAATACTTGAAAATTGGATTTAACCGGCATTTATGCCAGGGGGAAAGAAAGCCTTCATGGGGGAGACCCCTGTGCGCAGAATTTTCCAGAGAGCACCGGGCCTGCCAGGGCTGTTTGGTCTTCCTTAAGGGCTAGGACCACACTCCCTTCCTTCCCCATCATGGTGCACAGAACCTTCTCTTCCTTGCCATGGCTCCAGGCCATTTGGGGAATAAAGAGATGCTGCCAGCCTCTTTTCGGGGCTGCAGGCTCCTCTGGGGACATGGAGACGTGCTAGAGTGACCTCCTAGCATTGCCTTAACCTCTGGCTCTGGACCTCCATGAAGACACCTGTCACAAAAAAGGGCCTTGTTCAGGGGGCGGACGTGGGGGCCTGACACACGGAGGGGGTCTGCTGGAGAAGCAGCTGGGGTGATGGTCTTGCAATCGCTAACCACCCAGCCCGGCCGGCCCTGCAGAGAGCACAGTCCTGTCGGTGATCTCAGAAGGAGCCCAGGCAGAAGGCCCCACATCCCTTCTCTGCAAAGCCCACGCCAGCTCTCCGTGCTCCGGACCTCCCCACTTGAACTGAAGCATTTATGGACGCATATGTGGCTGCGGTGACAGATGTGGCTAAGAAGAGCCGGCGGCCGTCTGCCCGCACCATCTGGAGGTCAGGCTGGTAATCCTGTTATCACAGCAGCTCAGCGACAGCCTCCCAGACGAGCGAGTGGCTGCCTGTGGACAATCGAGATGTCCCTTTGCCCGTTATCAGGAATGCTCATTTCTCCTGAGAGTACAGGGACATGTCCAGCCTTTGAGTACTTGTCCCCAAACGGTACCACGGCTTCTCACCCAGTCTTTCCAGGTTCTCAGCCACAGAGGAGGGGGTGTGTGCTATTCATTTTCTTTTGCACGGCACAGGGAGAAAGCCACTCCTGGCCTGCATGTGAAGGAGCTCCAAGGTGAGCCTCTCCCACTCTGGTCGGCACAGGGGTGAGGCCTGGGGAAGGGGGTACCATGCAGGGGCCTCTTCTAAGGACAGAAGGAGAGTGAGCCCTTTCCCATGCGGCCCTGTCCCCAAAGCACATCCTGTCCTGCTCCAGTCTTTGTGTGGGGGCTCCCTTGCTTGCCAGGCCCCCCTTGGCTACTGATCTGGAGGAACGTAAGGAGACTGACCCAGACAGAGCGCATTCACGCCTGCAAGAGAATGTGGGAGCCACGCCAAGGGTCAAAGGCAGGTGTCTGAATACCCCGCCTACCTTACAAAGCTTCCAGACCATCTGGGCATCCTCACCCAGGGCAGCAGAGAAGAGACTGGTTGGTGGGGGCCTGGAGAGCCCTGACCCGACTCAGAAAATGTCCCTCCTGCTCTGACCGCCCCAGTAATCTGCCCTGTGATCCCAGAAGTCACGCCTCTCCCTCCCATCTGTCAGAAGATGAGGTGGGCGTGAGCCTGCCATCTAAAATTCCATGATTTCTCAGAGAGGAAAGCATCTTCAGGCGGGTGGTCTGAAGACTCGATTCTCTGGCAGGTCTAAAGCTTAAAAGCTCTTCTTCTCTTTTTAAAAAAGAAGAGAAAGTCTGTCCAGCAGATAACCCCTCCTCCCACCCCTGGAAATCTAGCCGTCCTTGGGTTTCCTGATGCATCTGGGTCTCGAAAGGGGACAAATGACTGGTGACGGAGGAGCCCTGTCCAAGTCAAATGAGGAACATTCTATGGCCCTGCTAATCACCGCCAATATTCCAAAGGGCTGAGTGGGAAACCAAGGTCGTGCTGGGATCATTCCAGTTCTGCGGGCAGCTCCTGCTTGGCACCTGGCACACCAGGTGTGACAAGCTGGCATAAAAACAAGACACGTGTGTGATTATTTACTGCCAGCAAGCGATCGGCCATGTTCATATTTCAGACCTGACTGCCTGTTCCTTCTGGTCTCACGTTCTTGGAATGCAGTTTCAAGAATTCCCCAGTCTGCCCCTGGAAGGCTCTGCGCAGTCTGGCATCCGGGGGCTGGTAACTCACACCCCCTTGTTTTCTGGATGGGATGGACCACAGCACAGAACGTGGGAAACCAGGGCTGCTTGGCCCAGAAGAGACCGGCGCCTGGTCAGAACTCCTGGTTCCGGAAGGTGGGCACAGACGAAGGCCAACAGCGACAGTGCTCCGAGCAAAGCCCCGCCCTGCTGCGAGCCCGGCGCGGGGTGGGCCGGCCTGGGGCTGGCGGACACCCCGGGCCTCAGAAGGTGAAGGCGTACACCACCCCAACCACCACAATGTTCCCCAGGGTCGCTATGATGGCAATCCAGAGTAAGACTGCGTCGTTGGAGGACCGCGGAGGCTCCTCCGGCTGGCCCTGGCCATTGGAGGCCGCATGGACGTTGGTGGAAGAGTTAAAGAGTGAGTACTCCGTGCTGAAGTCCTCGTTGGGCGAGTCCATGAAGGCGCCTCCCATCATGGGCAGCTGCGAGAGGGAGAGAGAGAGAGAGAGAGAGAGAGAGAGAGAGAGAGAATTAGGCGGGGCCCGCGGGGCTCTCCTTGTGTTTGTTGTCATGGGCCAGTGCCCATTTTAAGCTATAAAAGTTAGTACTGACCGCCGTGCTTGGAAGCCGACACCCGCATGCCCATTTCGCAGGCGGAAGCATTAAGACGCGCACTCAGCAGCCTGGCGGCCCGCCAAGACTGCTGGCAATAGGCGGGACTTACAGATCTGCAGTCTAAAGGCCACGCCCCTCTGACGGCCACGCCCCTTCTAAAGGCCACGCCCTCCACGCCCGCCTGGATTGTAAGACTTCTTCCTTCCTCTTCCAAAGGTAAAGTCATCATGCTCTTCACAGAACGTTAAGGAAACATAAGAGAGGCTAAAGAAAACAATGAGAATGAGCCTCACCACTTCAGGATAATCCTTGTCAACACTGCGGTATTTTTCTTTTGAATCTGTTTTCTGTGTATGTATGTGTGCGTGAGAGAGAGAACATATTCAAACATGTGGTTTTACCTTCCTGTAGAAAGGTCCATCGAAGTACCACTTTAACCGTTGCATCCTATTCTACCACAAGTGCAAGCCATAATTTAACCAACCCCCTAGGGTGGGAGATTTTAGGAATTTCTTTTTCTCCCTATTACAAATAATGCCCTGATATACATCCCGTACATACATTTGGGGGTGCAAATGCATGCTTGTTCATGCATTTTTATTTATTGGGGGTAGGCTCCCAGCTGTGGAACTTCTGAGTCAATGTGTACGAACATTTCAGAGCTTCTGTGCACAGGGACACATTCCCCAGAAGAGAGGGCACCAGCATGTCCGCACCCCAGAGATCAGAGTGAAGGCTCCAGCCTGGGGGGTGGGGACGTGCTGACCCTCCACACAGCCATGGAGGGACCCCCTCCCTGCTCCAGCCCAGGAAACCAGGGTCCAGGCTTTCCAGGCCCTTCCAGATCACTCCAAGGGCTGATGTGCCTTATGCCCCCAGGGTTGGCTCAGGCAACTCTTAGGCCCGTGGTGTTTGTTTTGGATGGCGCCCGAGTGAAGGAACACTGAAGCTTTCTTTCAACACACACTTCCTGAGCACTACTACTACCAGCATAAAGCCCTGGCATGCTTAGGGAATGTGCAAAAGATTTTATTTTATTTTTTTTTATTATTTTTTAATTTATTTCTAGGAGAGAGAAAGAGACAGCGTGAGCAGGGGAGGGTCAGAGAGAGAGGGAGATACAGACTCTGAAATAGGCTCCAGGCTCTGAGCCGGCAGTCAGCACAGAACCCGACGCAGGGCTCGAACCCACGAACCGCGAGATCATGACCTATGAGAAAGTCGGATGCTTAACTGACTAAGCCACCCAGGCGCCCCCAAAAGATTTTAAATTACCCTCATTTAGGGGCGCCTGGGTGGCTCAGCTGTTGGCAGCCAACTTCGGCTCAGGTCATGATCTCACGGTTTGTGGGTTTGAGCCTCGCATCGGGCTCTGTGCTGACAGCTCAGAGCCTGGAGCCCGCTTCCTATTCTCTGTCTCCTTTCTCTGCCCATCCCCCCACACAAACAAACATTAAAAATGTTTATTTAATCACTCATCTATCCTGTTGGAGGTATCACTATATCCCCATTTCACAGGTGGGTAAGTAGAGGTCAAGACTACAGTGCTACTTCATGGTGGAGTCAGGACTGAGAGCCTGTCAGGCTGTGGAGCCCTGTGCTTCCTGCTCTGCACACAGCTGCCCCGACTCCAGGGTTAGACTCCACGTTGGGGCTTGGAGTCGTGAAGGTCACTGCCCCCAGGAAGACTCGGGCCACAGGGGAGCAAATTGGGGGCCATCTCACTCGGCCACTCATCTGACAAATACATACGAGGCGGGTATTAATTAGGTGCCCCAGCTCCTGACTCTGGGTACAGTGGTGAGCAAGATGGGGTTCCTGCCTTCATGGGCCCACACTCCAGCCCGGGGATGAGCCGGAGGAAGAGGAGAGGGGCCCAGGGAGGGAAGATGAAAAGCAGGACATCCCACTGGAGCACAAGCCATCAGACCCCCACAGGGAGGCCACCTTCAGGCAGCTTGTGCTTGGCCCCTCCGAATCCCAGAAGCTTCTGTGGGCTCAGAGGAGATCGGCATTACATCCATAACGCAGCTCTGTCCTTTATTTAGGTGGGGACCTGCCAGCCGTCAGCCTGGGGGTGTAGTGACCAGAGGGACACTGGGCATCTCTGGACAGGCCAGGGGCCGAGCCTTGGGGGCCAGTGGTTACAGGGGTGTGTTCACTGCATGGGAACACAGCCAGCGCTGTATTTACATATGTGTGCATTAGAGTTAAGCAGTATTTTAAATTAACACGTTGAGTTAAATTGACATATTTACTATATTAATAACTATAATGATGAACACAAATGAAATAACAGTTGATATATATTCTACGAAAAATGCAACCTAGAATTTCAATAATAAGAGAGCCGTGACCTCCTCCTTCCCCCCATGCAGGTGACAGACGGGATGGGCTGCAGCCGAATCAGGTGCAGGCAGCCTAAGGGGGCTGGGGGGCCGGCAAGGCAGGGCAGCTGTGCCTCTGGCCTGCAGGGAAGGTTCTGGGCCTTCCTATTCAATCCATTCCTGCTTCAGAGCTCAGCCAACAGTCCTCTCCACTGGAGCCCTCCCTCCTGCGTGCCCCCATGACCACGTCCTGTCCTGGCAGCCACCCATCCCAGACACAGTCCCACTCTGCTTCCCCAGTGGAATCTCTACAGCCTGACACAGGTCTGGCACACAGTGGTGCCTAATAAATGCTTGTTCACTAATGAATGACAGCCACTCTCAACTGGGACAAATAGCTAGCTATCACTGTGACACTTGCTGACGGCCTGTCCCGCATCTCCCCACGGCCCCCACATCCACCTGCCCCCCGCCCCCAGCAGGGGTCATGGAGGCCAGCGGGTTCCTCCTGCCCATCTGCAGCGGTCGGTGCCCCAGCCACCCCAGGGGGCCCACCTTCTCTAGTGTCTTCCTCTGGCCGCCCACAGCAGAAGCAGGGCTGAGGTGAGGCCGTGGACACACTCTGCTGGTGGCCTCCTGGACAGCGGGGCGGCAGCCAGGGCACGAAGCTGCACTTTCTGCTTCCCTGTGCACCTGGACTTGTTCGGCACGGCCTCCCCTGGGCCCGCCATACCCCAGGGTTTACCCACACCCCGGTGTCCCCACTGGCCACCTCTGTCCCTCCCTCTCCCCCACCCCGGGCCCTGCTGGGTTTCCGGGCAGACCCCCTGACCCCCCCCAACTGTGCGACAGAAATGCTCTTCCATCCCGCTGCGGCCTCTGGGGAGGCCTGTGCCACCCCACCCCCCCCGCCTCCCTCAGGGAGCGCCAGCTCAATGGGTATTTTCATCAAATCCCTGGAGAAAAGGGGGAAAGTGGCCGGAGCTTCTGTTGGGGGAGGAGACATCAGCCCCAGGTGGACCTGACCCCGGCGCCAGCACCACCCCGCCCAGGCACTGCTGCCTCCACTGGTTTTCCGCCCAACACCCTCTACCCCACACCCCCTCCCCACGCTCTGCTCCGCTGCGCACATTTACTGCCCCTGTGTCAGCTCCCGTGGAGGCCTTGATGGGCTGCCCTACATGTAGGGTGACGTCTGGCACGGGTCTCACTGGCCTCAGTCAAGGTGTCAGCTGTGCTCCCTGCTTCCCAGCTCCCAGAGGCGCCCACGTTGGCCCGCACCCCGTCCTGTCTCCCAAGCCTGCAGTGTGGCATCTTCCAACCTCTCTCTCTGACCCTCCTGCTTCCCTCGTGTGGGGACCTTGGTGATCACACCAGGCTCACCCGAATAATCCAGGGTCACCTCCAATCTCAGGGTCCTTAACCTTAAACACACCTGCAGCGTCTCTTTGCCCTGTAAGGGGACGCACCCAGGGGCTCGCCTAGCTGGAGCTCGGGCTCCCACTTCCTGGGATCTCTTCTTGAAGCCAGCCACACGGCGCATTCATCTCAAGCGCCCTCGGCCCCATTCTTAACACAGAAAAGGTGACAAGTACAGCCACGTGGGATTAATGAACTCAAGTTAGCAGAGGGGCCCCCCCACGGGCTGTACATCATAAACCTGAGACCCCAGCGGCAGGATGGTGCCTTCTCCACGGGGTGAGCCCCCTCCTGGGCCCGCAACTGCCGCGACAGTCAGCTCAGCGCCACCAGAGACCACGGCCGGTGTCTGACGGGCACCGCTGCCTCCGAGTTTGGGGACAAGGGCGGGCTCTGGGGCTCGAAAGACTCGGGGTGAATCCAGCTTCATCACATGGAGTAGAGCTGGGGTGAGTCCCTTAACGCCTTTGCCTGGAAGAAATAAAGATAATGCTTTCTCTTCAGTGGAGCCAGCAGGATTCTTGCAAGAAGGGAATAAAATCAAATATGATTAAAATGTGGCGCATGATAGTTACCCAGTAAATCCTCATATTCTCTCCTTCTATCGTTCCTGTAGAAATTCGGAACCAGGAGCATTATATACGTCTCTTCTCCAGCTGCTTAAGGTGAAGGGAGGGAATGGGGAGCCTGGCGTCTCAGGTCGTGTGCATTTACACGATCAATTAATCAGACACTCATTTGCAGGTGCGGCAGACCGCCCTCCTGTTCCCCAACTTATGTTCAGGCCGAGAGATATTCCAAGTCTGGCCAGCAAGGTCATTCAGTCCATCTGTCTCAGGTGTTTGGTTCTTTATCTATGTTTTTTTCCCCCTTTGTCAAACAGATTCGACATTCAAAGTGCCGGGAAAGACATGAAAAGAAGATTGAACGGCAAAATCGTGTGAATAGAAAGCAAGCAAACAAAAAGCTCGGCCTCTTTTGCATCGTTTGGAAGTTGGGAAGAGCTCGGAAGGCCAGGAAGACTCATGGTCAGAGTGAGGGGTGGCGGCTGGAGTCACCCCAGAAGCAGGTGGTGAGAGAAGCATCTGGAAGGTCCCTTGGAGATGCCGCATCTCCCTTCT